GGCATTAGTGGAAAAGGCTACCTGGTACTCACTAGGTGCTCACTCTACTTCAAAAATAAATTACATATGCAGCAGCTTCTGCGACATACGAATGTCATGGACTGGAAAATGCCAGTGAAGAACATGTATCATAACACTTGCTTACATTCAAGTGTTTGGTGATTCCACTCTCTATCCTCTTGTTCACCTGCTGAAAACACTCATCCGAGAAGAGACGCTTCCACACTGGTGTGAAACTGACACGTCTTTTCCTTTCTGTTCTACAGTGCCTGACAGTTGTCAGCCTGGTGTGTTTTTATGCTGTCCTTCCTCCTCCTCCTCCTCCAAAAGGCATTTCTGAGGAAGTGCTTCCCTCTGAACGACCAGACTTCCCCATGGCAGTCTCTAAGGGGTGCGTGAGAGATAAAATTCTGGTCTGTTCACAGGAAGCCATGGCAGATGCCAAGACCCTGCTCAGCCCGGGAGGGCCTGCGCACTGCTGTTCCTGGCAGCGCTGATGCCCGGAGTGGGAGGAAACAGACCGGCTCTGGCCTTCCTGGCTCCATTTCATATCGTATCAGCTTGGGCTTTTTTTTTTTTTCTCCTCTACTGGTTTAAGTTCATTTCACTCAGACTTCAAACTGTTCCTTGGATCTTTGGTGCATGTAAAGTATGTCACCGGTTTAACTTAGAGCACTTCTATTGCAAATGTTATCTAGATGTCACAGTTGTAGAACCTGGGCTTGGGGTTTGCTGAAAAATAATACAGGAGTTATTAACAAAATAGTGTTTTACTCTGTAAATGTTAGATGTTATAGTAGCATTTATTTCTAACATGAAGCGATGGACATTTTGTGTTTATAATGCTTCATCAAAAATACACTTTTAAGATCTGGGGAGGTGGCTGAGTCAATGGTTAAGAGCACTTACTGCTCTTGCAGAGGACCCAGGTTCAGTTTGCAGCACTCATATAACTCCAGATCTAGGGAATCCACTGCCTTGTTCTGGTTTCTGTAGATACCTGCACACACCTGGCACCCCTCCCATGCAACACACACACACACACACACACACACACACACACACACACACACACAAGAAGTCTTTCAAAATATACTCTTAGGAAAATTTGCTCATTTGAATTTAGTAATCATTTTTTGTTGTGTTTTAGTAAAAGTGAGAAAAGCTGTTCCCAACTTACAGAGGAGACAGCCTGTTCAGCATGTCTTTAGTTAACTAAGTTGGAATACAAATTTTATTTGGAAGAGTAATTTGTCTCTCCAAAGTAAGAAAGAGATAAATGAATCAACAATTTAAACATTCCTTGTAAAGTATTCAAACTGCTTGGTATTAAAGAAGGTAATAATCTGAATGTCAGGTACTCATTAAGGGCAGAGGGACATATAGTGATATTTACTCCAATCTCTGTTTAGAACACTATTGTTTCCAGTTTGTTACTAACACTATTTCCTACAGATATGGCTATTTTAAAATCTATATCTGTATCATTAATAGTATTTGGTATAAGAAATAGGATTTGGTATATGTGTAAACAGAAAGGTGTTTTCTTCTTATGTTTGGGTGTTGTTAAATCTGTCTCCTCATTTACTAAGAAATTTTGGGTTTATTGCTTTTTTGTTTTTTTCCCGAGACAGGGTTTCTCTGTGTAGCTTTGTGCCTTTCCTCTGTAGACCAGGCTGGCCTCGAACTCACAGAGATCTGCCTGCCTCTGCCTCCCAAGTGCTGGGATTAAAGGCGTGTGCCACCACCGCCCAGTGGGTTTATTTCTTATATCTGTTTAGTCTGTTCTGATGCATTTCTCTTCCGTATCACTCCTCAGTCCTTTTTCACTCAGGTCTAGCATTTCTTAGCCTTCTCTGTCTGTCCTGGTGCTGATGTAGCTGTCTACTGGTGATTTACTGAGCACTGCAATAATCAGCATCTCTGCTTGTGTACTTGCAGCTCCTTCTCCAGGTTCTAGCCAACTTTTGTACTTTAGTTGTTTCATCTTTCCATTTAAAAAATATAACTTAAGGGAGGACGTCAACTGCTGAGACCATAGCTTAGAGCATGATTTGATACAACTTAACAGAGTCTCATCATGTGGGAAACATAGGAAATAATTTGTTTTTAAAATGGGATGCAAGGGACCAGTGAGATACCTCAGTCAGGAAAACACTAGCCACACAAAACTGAAGGCCTGCGTTCAGTCCCCAGAGCCTACTATGGAAAGGGGAAACAGCTCTTCAAAGTTGTCCTCCAACCTCTATACATGCGCGATGTGTGTGTACACATTTACACACTCACACTTTCTCGTGCACAAAGGAATGATGGTAGAGTGGCACCCTGGGAACTTCCTTCACAGGCTCCTCTGCTAATACTCAAGCCTGTCATATGAAAACAGGGCCTCTTTCCCAGGGTCCTGTGAAGGACTGTCAAATGCTTCTTCTGAGGGTTGTGGAAACACTAACACCCTCTGCCTCAGAAATACCAGATAGGAACTCAGGAAGAAAGAAAACATAGTGATGTGCTTGTGTACAATTTAAAGGTACACAGATGCTCTGAACCTACAAGGCTAGCCGTGAGATCCATGGGCTCTGTGTCAGAACTCCTGTAAAATGCTGATTATTCATTTTACTTCCCCATTAACACTGTTCTGATTCACATGTTCTCTTGGTCTTGACTTTGGAGTAAGAATTTTTAGGATTCAATGACTCAGCATTGCTTCATGCTATTCTCAAAGTCCTGGCATTCACATAGGGCGGAAATACAGAGCTCCTTATGCTAGAAGGAGATTAGGAGATTAATCTGTCCTATCTCATGGGTCTGGATTGAGATTCCAGTGACCAGGGATGGAGGGAAAGTTCCCTTTTAGAACAGAGATCACAGAACAGGGCAAGGCAGGCCATTTGGTGCTAGTGTGATTCCTCAGTTACTATAACAAAATGAGACTTGAAATACAACCTAATGTCCATGGAAGCTCCCTAATATTATTAAAGCTTATATTTCCATGGATTTTTAAACTTTCTGAAATGAATGTAATAGTTTATAGTTCTTACATTCTCGTTGACTTTGTGTGTATTTCATTCCATTGAAAAGGACAGTAAAATTTTTAAAAAATTGTACTTTTATTTAGACATTGTATTATGGAAAATATTCTTAAAGTCATCAATGATTTCTGTACTTAAAGAATGAAAAAGTAAGAAAATACTGTAAAATACGGATGTGGATTAGAGATAGACTTGTGATGGTTTTAAGTCTGGTAAACCTTGCTGCTCTTTCCATTTATGTACACGCCCCATATGTCACTCTCTTTTGCTACATATTAGATTTAAGGAGAATTATCTTGCTTTACCACCATAAAAATCACAAATGAAACAGAATCGGAAAGGAAATCATTTTAAAGGAAATACAAAGGACCAAAATTAGTATATTATAGGGCATATACATTTTTATACTTTTTTAAACTAGATTATTTTTGTCCACTTAAATAATCATACATAAAATATTTATTGTTTTTGTTTGTTTGTTTTTTCGAGACAGGGTTTCTCTGTGTACTTTTGGTGCCTGTCCTGGATCTCACTCTGTAGACCAGGCTAGCCTCGAACTCACAGAGATCTGCCTGCCTTGGCCTCCAGATTTTGGGATTAAAGGCGTGTACCACCACCACCCAGCTTCATGCATAAAATATTTAATAACTTCCTGTCTTCTTTGTCCCTAGTCCATCCTCTACATTCATCTTAAGCTCTATTTCACTCATCCATTTATCAGTTGATATGGAGTTAGCTCATGTCATATTTTGGTTATTGGGAATAATGTTGGTATAGGTCCCATGGTAAAACACTGGGCAGTATTCTGAGGAACACTAGGCTGTTTTCCCTAGTGGGTGCACATTTTACTTTCCACAGAGGAGTCTGTGCTGCTGTTTCTGTACTGCTCACCATCTCTTGCTGTGGGTTGTGTTTTTCTTGTAGCCCTCCCAGAAGTTTACAGGCACAGCTCACTCTGGTCTTAATGTGAAGGTCGCTAATGTGCATGTCCAGCCAGTATTGCCATATAGCAAAGGCTGGCTTCAAAGTTGCCTTCTGGCTCTAGCTGGTTGGTCTCAAACTGATGATCTCCCTGTGTCTGTCTTCCAAATTCCAAGATTACAAGCAACTGCCACAGCAACTTGTTTTGAAAAGCTCTGTTCAAGGTTTGCTGAAAGTAATGCAACAAATATATCTTATATCTTGTTTTGAATTTATTATGTCTACAATGTAATTCATAAAATGTCCTACAACTGGGTTATTGCTCTAACCTTTATGTTCTCAACTGTTCAAAATAATATGCATTCATTAAAATTAATACAATCATTGAGTTGACTTTATAAGATAAATTTTCCTTTATCTGAAGTCATTTGTTGATATGAGGGTGACAGGTCAAAACTAGAGATAAGGATAACCCACTTTAACACAGAGCTATTCAATGGCTAGAAGTAGGACTTAGAAACCCATTGATTGAAGATCTGCTTTCATGTAAGTCACACATCAAAATCTGGGACATAGATAATAAATGTATTTTAAGAATATAAACAAAATATTGTATTTTAAACTATTAGGCAGGTAGAAATGCAACATTTAGAAGTAGAGAAACACCATGACTTCAATTAGGGTCTTCATGCAATTGGCTTTTGCAGTACTATCTTCTATTGGCTTTGGGATTAAAGCATCTTATTTATAAATTATTTAAAAAATACTTCACTACCTGGAAGTTTGAATAGAATTCCCATTCTCCAATTCTTTTTGACATTTTCAAAATTAAAATAAAAATAAGTCATTCTTTTCTAGAAAGGGACCACTACATAGCACCCAGTGCACACTCACGATGGACACTACTCAAGGTCCTATCTACCTTGGCCATCTCTTAAATGGCAACTTAGAACTTCCTGGAACATACAGAACTGAAGACCCTGGGAGACTGTCTGAACTCATCTCTGGCAGGAGAGCCATCCGTTACCTCCTGTGGCTGAAGTAACTCACCGGGTCACAGAGGAGGTTGCCATTTCTAGTCCCTGCAGGGTGACAGTCACAAGGCTTGCAGACATCGAGAGCAGAAGGATCTGCACCAACAGGTCGGTAAAAGTAATTCTGGCACGACTCACAGTTTCTCCCTGTGTCGGGATAGGTTATCCATTATGACTCATAATTCATTACAATCGGCTACATAATTCAAGATTAAAGACTGTATTCCTTTGAGGAAATTCTATAATTTTCGGGACGTCCATTTTAATGCACCTTTCATCTCTACCTGCCAATTTAGTGATCCGGAGCATATGAAATGGTGAACCTGTTCCAAATGGTGCTTTACCCCATTAAACGCCCATCTGTTATACCATGCCATACTTCCGAGAAGTTTTGCTTTATAAGGGAGCATGCATTTTAAAAGAATGCATTTCTAAACTTAAAATTGCATTCCTATGGCCAGGTACTTATTCCTAAAGCAGAATGTAAGCAACTGCTACACATGTGGCGATGACATCTACATCAGTGGGAGGAAGTGGGAATGCTGTATTACAAAGGTTTGTAGAGAGTCATGGAGCTAACGTAGTCCTAAGGCCCTTGCTGTGCATGCAAGAGGACTTGAATCTGATACCTGGTACAGACAAAAACAGCCAGGCACAGGGGGCGGCACACACCAATTACCCAGTGACAGATGGGTCCCTGGTGCTCACTGACCAGCCAGGCCAGCCAAACGAATGAGTTCCAGGCAAAGAGAGATAAGGTGGAGGGTGACTGAAGAAGACAGTTGATGGTAACCTCTGGCCTCCACATGTATACACATGGTCAACACACATATACAGGTGGTTACACAGATGCACACAAAAATTATAAAGATGTATTTTTCAGAAGTAAACTATGAAAAATGGAGAATGCTCTTAATATGATGGATTGTTATGCAGTTAACAATTTTTAATGCTTCTGTTAGTTATTTTTTACTTCAAGTATCAGAATAAGGAAATTAACTATATTTATACATACCAGATAAATCTTGTGTTAAGTATTAGAAGAGCCTTATATATTCAGTGTGCAGCATAGTTCCTACGGATTTCAGTTTATTAAGCAGACTTTCCTCTTGCCATTTTATGGATAAGAACCTAACTTCTTAGTCCATTATATTTGTATTATATTTCACAAACACTGATGCCACCTGCTTCTGCATTTAATTAATTAATTAATACTGCTTTTCAGAAAACAGTGATTTTAATAACTGCTAGAAACTTCTTATATAATAGAACCTACAGAGAATATTAATCACCTTCTGTATTTATAACCTATTTTTTACAGTGTGTGTGTGTATATGTGTGTGTGTGTGTGTGTGTGTGTGTGTGTGTGTGAGAGAGAGAGAGAGAGAGAGAGAGAGAGAGAGAGAGAGAGAGAGAGAGAGAGAGACATGGACATGTGTGCACCATTATATGACTCAAAGGGCAGGCTGTAGGACCCTTTCCTCTCCTTCTACCATGTAGGTTGGAAGATCCAGCTCAGGGGTTAAGGCTCTCTAGTGAGCTCCTTTTCCTATGAGACATCTTGTTGGTCCATATATTTATATCTTAAAAAGATTATTGGTTTCTGTGTAAAGCCTGAGTAAATGTAACATGCCCATGTGTGAAACCAGATACAAGGAAGACAGGAATGTAAGTCACACAAGTGACTTACTGTGAGGATGTATTCAAACTGAGCTAGGCTAAACTATCAAAGTCAGTAGTTCAGCCAATGGTGTGAACCCTTCCGGAGGAACACTTTCCTGCAAACGTACAATGAAGGACTGTTTCTGAATGGAGAAGGTTTGATGAAACAGCTTTTGTCTTTAAACTTAACAAAGTGAAAGCTCATTCCCAAATAGGATAACTGTGTCATAATTTAAAATATCATGCATCTAGAGACAGGCACCCATGGCCCCACAGGCTGAGCCAGTCATTCTGGATTCAGGATTACCTGTTGTGTGATGCTGGCAGTCGTCACAGACTCCTCCACTGCCTCTGCTGTGCTCCAGAGGAAATGGGTCCACAGAAGCATCATAATGGCAGCTTCTGGCATGGCTGTTGCACAGACAAGGCTTACAGTTGAATGCATGAACATCATCGCCACTGTGGAAAGGCTTGTCATTATAAAGAGGCAAGCAGCGATCACACTGCAACGATAAAATGTCAGAAGAAATACAACGCCATGTCTTTTTGATTCAGGTACCCATCACTGTCAGGAAATGTAAATTAAAACTTATAAGTTAAGAACTTCTGGCCAGGCGGTGGTGGCGCACGCCTTTAATCCCAGCACTCGGGAGGCAGAGCCAGGCGGATCTCTGTGAGTTCGAGGCCAGCCTGGGCTACCAAGTGAGTTTCAGGAGAGGCGCAAAGCTACACAGAGAAACCCTGTCTCAAAAAACCAAAAAAAAAAAAAAAAAAAAAAAAAAAGAACTTCTGACTAGTTTGTCTTTTAAACTATTTTATAAATCATAAAAAAAGGCATGGCTTAGGATTCTTCTACAACCTTTAAAGTTATGTTGAAATATTAAAATCTCCCTACTCTGAGCTCTAAGAGTAAAGGAAATCACAAACAGTAAAATTAATATTAACTTATCCCCCTACAGTCTCAAACTCTGCAGTGAATTGAGAAATGAATTGATCTCACTCTTTGTAAAGAATCTCATCAACGGTACTTTGAAGAGTGTTTGATGGCCTTCATCTCACCTAAGCTTTGGTATGCTGACACAATCCTTCCCTTTGCTGTACTGTGGTAGATCACCATGTTCATTCTGTTTCTTGAACACCTGTGTTGTGAAGTATTGTCTAAGCTGGTCACTAACAAAGAGGTAACACTACACCTACTTGCCTGCCTGAGAAAGGAAATGGGATCGGTTACTGGTCCTGTATACATAGTTTAGATGGCAACTCAAGCACTGAAGACACATCAGCTGTGCATGCCAAGTAAGGAAGTAAAAAATCAGTATCATTGATGATTTAGGACCAATAAATCCAAATATTTGCAAAATACAATTTCTCCTTGAATTTGTACAGAGTTCAGCAATTTCTTCCTTTATATTTTTTAAAAAAATAAATAAGAATTCTCTTTTCCATTGTGTTCCTATTTCACAGTATACTGAACATTTTAACATGAAGCAAAGTCTGGGTTTCTCTTCTACTTAACTGAGGAGGAAGAAAACAAACAGAGAAGAAAATATGAAGGCTACATAAACATCAGGCTGCAATGTCCAGATGCAGGGGACTGGAGCTATAGTCATTCATAAAGAATGCACCCCTGGATTTCAGTCAGTTTTCAGGGTTCTCTAATACTCTTATAGTGATGAAATTCCTTTTTAGCTATAACTACTTCTATGTCGTGAGCTGGAGTAGCTGGCCACTTTCTTTTTCCCACTGTTCTCTAGAGATGGTCATGCTATATCCCCATCCTTTGTCCTATAGTGACACCTGTGTCATATTCCTGTCCTGCATTGCAGCCTTGGCTCCCTTACAACCCTCCCTTAGCATAGATATATGCTAGATATCTATTTTTATATGGCCTACACTGTCTACATAGTAAGAGAAGAAAGGTAGTTGCTAAGGTGATTGCTGAAAATTCACATTTGACTCTGATACCAGTGTCCAAATAAATCTCTTCTTGGACATGTTTAGGGAACACTCAATAGCAGGCTAATGTTTGCACACAGTGTTCATGGTCAGCTATGATGATATCAGCCTCAAAGGCACTTGCAGCTAGAAAACAAACCCTTTTAGCCAAACAAAGACACAACTAACCAATGCTAGCTACAGGTCTTTGGCCACCTGAGATTTTGAGACAGAGTCTTGCCTAGTAACCCAGATTAGCAATGAACTCACTATGAAATCCAAACTGGCCTTGAACTCACAGTAATCCTCCTGCCTCAGTTTTCCAAGTGCTGAAATTATAGGCAGGCACCATGACACATTAGCAAGAAAGAAAGAAAAAAGAAGGAAGGAAGGAAGGAAGGAAGGAGAGAGAGAGAGAGAGAGAGAGAGAAAGAGAGAGAGAGAGAGAGAGAGAGAGAGAGAGAGAGAGAGAGAGAGAGAAGTTAAATGTTCCCTAGCTGGCAATAATCATACACCAAACAAACATTTCAAAATAAATGTTGGAGTTAGTTGCAGGCTAGATGTCAGAAAGTATAATTATTGTTGCTTATGACTGCAAAATAAAAGGCCACCGTAATGTGTGGTATGTGCTCTCAATATATGCTAAACTTCAGGTAGGCATTTAAAGTGAATTTCCTCCCATCAGTATACAAGTGGATGAATATACTGTGGCTTATGGACACAGTGGGATTGTATTCAGCTATACAAGGAATGGAATCACGCCATTTCCAGGGACATGGTGGAACTCCTGCTAATTGAAATAAATCAGCACAGAGCAACAAAACGGCATATCCATGATGACACGTGGAAGCCACACAGGTGATGAAGCAGCACAGAGGTCACCGAAGCTGTGGTGTGCCAGGAGGAGACTTGAGGTTAACTAGGTAATGAACACAGGAGTGAGTGCAGTTTAACCAGAGGAAAGACTTCTGGTGTTCTGAAGCACTTCTGTGCAACTATAGTTGGCAATTAACTGTAAAAAAAAAAAAAAAAAAAAAAAAAAAAAAACTTCAAGTAGCCACCTGAAAGGACCTTACTATTCTCCATGTAAAGAAATCACAGGCATTAGAGATCATGAAAATAACAAGAATGTAGTTGGAAGTTTTTCTGTGTCCTGCCTGGTCCTGCAACCACTCAGACCCAAAGTAAACACACAGAGGCTTATATTAATAAAAACTGTATGGCCATTAGCTCAGGCTTATTAATGACTAGCTCTTACACTTAAATTAACCCATAATTCTTATCTATGTTTAGCCACATGGCTTGGTACCTTTTTTCAGTTCTGCCTTGTCATCTTGCTTCCTCTGTGTCCGGCTGGCAACTCCTGACTGTCCTTCCTCTTCCCAGAAATCTCATCTGCTTGCCCCGCCTATACTTCCTGCCTGTCTACTGGCCAATCAGTGTTTTATTTATCAACCAATCAGAGAAACACATATTCACAGCATATAGAACAACATCCCACAGCACAAGAATCCCTGTGTAATCATTACACACTATGCCCCTGTGCTAAACTATCATGCTGCATACCATAACTCATACATATGCTCACTGTATGGTAATAAAAACAGTTTACAAACACAATGGGAACCTGATTGACCCTCAAAGAATAAGGCCTACTAATGTTCTTTATCATTATGGCATTGGCCATAGAGAATTATACAAGTTAGGAGACACCATCAATGCTTCTGAATGAAGTTAGCTCTTAAATCTACTTTATGCCTGTAAATTCTGGTTTCTTCATCTCTAAAGGGAAGATAAGTTACTTTTACCACTAACCAAAGTGGTTTAGAATGGGGATAATACTTAAGTAATGTCCAAAATTAGTCCTAGAATGTAACAATTCAGAATCAGAGGTTATAGGATGGAGGATATGGGAAAGAGGTATGGGAGGGGAAGACATCGAGGAGGAGGCAAAAGACAAAGAGATTAGAAGAGAGAAGGTTTGAAAGGAGGAAGAGGAGAAGAAGGGAAGGACAGGAGGAGAAGGAGAAGAAAAAACAAAGGAAGGAGAAAATGAGGTGAGGGAGAGGAGAAAACAGCCAACAGAGAATGGATGGCTCCAACAGAATACATAACACAATGTTATGGAAATATGGTCATTGACCCTTGAGGATTCTGCAAACTGCAAGGTACTGGCCCATGATTTACTCAGACCATGTGGTCTACAGAATAGAGTAAAAAGTAAAATATGAGGGAGCATTATTTCTGGGTCATTTTCATCATGTATATCTAAACCAGCAGAAACTTTATAGACCTCTACTTCTAGGAGCCATCAGATGCCAATGGGATGCAACCGTCTCAAGTGGCTGTGGATCTAGGGGAGAGGCACTCTACTTGAATAAAATTAAGAACAGAAGAAAACTCAACTTCTGGTTCCTGGGATTTGAATGAAAAAAAAAAAATGAACTTCCAGAGTCACCTTGTCCAGGTCCAACACCCATATAACCATGCTCATGTCTTCATCCATGCAACCATGCTCATGTCTATACTTGTGAACCTCTGCTGCATTGTAAAAACTTAAGGAAAGGCAAAATTTTACTGCATGAAAACAATCTCAAGCTTACTTTCTATTAAAATTTGGTTTTCTTTGTTGCTGTTTTGTTTTGCTTTACTTCAAAAGAAATCTTATTGAAAGAATTTTCTCACCCTAAGGTGATGTTTCAAATCGTACTTTCTTCATAGAAGTTGGTGGAGAACAGTAAGGATGCAGGCATGTGGCCTTGTCACACTGGTCACATGTGCAGTTTGTGTTCCACAAAGTAACCGCAGGCTGAATGTGGGGAGGCACTTGCTAGAGTTGGAGGAGCAGAGCCAGCAAAAGAAGGCCTCTGATGTCCATGGAAACAACACTGTTTTTTCCTTTCGCTTTTGATCCAGATTCTTTTTTTTTCCTCATTTGATATTTTGTCCTCATTTTCAACCTACAAGCCACTACCACAAAGCCTTGTGATAAGACTGAATTAAATACCGCATCAATGCTCCCAAAACACAATCCTGGCTTCCTTGATGTTTTCAATTAAAGAGGAATTTTGCTACAGACTTTTGGAATGGTTTTGATCCTGGTCATGACTTGTTATTGGAACAGCTAGGCTTCCTTTGACACACAGCTTTAAAACGTAGGCAAAATGGGTAACATTATGTTTCCTGATGAAGATAAACACAGTTATCAGTTTGGGCATTTTAACACTGAAAATACCATAGTCATAGGAATTCATCAAGATAATTAATTAGTACAAATCTACCTCTAGGATAGCTATTTACTTCACCATCAGAGCAACACATGAGCCTGATTCTGCACTTAGAAACTTCTGTGTTGAATTGCTTCAAATTCATAGGAAAGAACTGACATCTTGAGATGTGTTTATTATACTGAAAAGAATGAAATATTTTCAATGCCCAAAAGTAAGCATACATCTCAACTTAAACATAATGCAAATACATACAGATACAGATGTGAATTCATCATATGGCTTAGATTTTAAAATCAAGTAGCATGTAGAATATAATCCTATTTTCTAGATAAAGGGGG